CAACAAATGTACAAATGTGCTTGACACAACGGATGGATGTATGGATTGTGATAAGAATTGTACGAGCCCCCAATAAAATGATGAAAAACCAAACCAAACAAACAGAGCATATTAACTCTTTGTACCACCCAGAGACACTGCTTATAACAATAGCTGTTTTTAATGAGCATTTTCTATGTGCATGAGGAGTACATATTTTGTGTGTGTGTCCAAGCCTTCAACCACCCGGCAGAAAGCATATCAAGATCCTTACAAAGGGATCAGGAAGCTGGGCAGGTCATATTGGCTCTCCTGAGGTCCTGGAGTTTCTATGTGGAGATCAAGGACCAACACTTGGACACTTGGACCTGTCTGGGCCACGAGACGTCAGCGATTGGCTGTCAGTGACTAGAGCCGGATTCTGGGTGCAGCTTCCCGGCAGGGGCTAAGTCTATCACCATGGCGTGAAGGGCAGGCCTGGTTGGAGCAGCTGCAAGGAGAGTTCACTGGGTTCGGTCCTGAGAACTGAGGGGCCGCCCACTTTGCTGAGAAAGGAATTGCCATATCCCTCTGCGGAGCACCTTGTTCCCCAAGGCGTAGTGGCAGGCGTTGACAATGGGCACTGCTTTCGCAACGATGGCAGGCACCTGTTGGGGCAGAAGCATCCAGGAAAGAGGCTTTCATGCTTCTGCTTCTCTCCCTAGTCCTCCCCACGAATCTCACCCCGCCATTCCTCTGTTCTCTGCGTTACTCTGCAGCTCTGAGGCTGCCCCTGCTAGTGAGCAAGCACAGCCTGGCTTCTGAAGCCCTGTGAGACTTGCTCCTCCTGGGACGCACATCCTCCCTAGCCACAGATACTAATCATGCAGGGCATGCACTTGCCATCTGGTTGTCTAACCTTGTCATTTCTCAGAAGGCACAGGCAATGCCAGTCAGTATGCTCAGGTGGCCCAGGGTAGGTGGGTGGGAGGGGGAGCAAAACCCCTGTGTGCTACGATTGCTTGGCCAAAGAGAGAGTGACAAGGAGGGCATAAGACAGAAAGAGAGGGGGGTGAGCCACTGGGAGAGGTAGGGATGGGAGGGCTCTAACATAGGGGGTTGGACATTTCCATACCATCTGTAGTTTGGGGGAGATGCCGGTCACATCTGTACAGGCTGCACACAGGTACAGGAGGGCATAAGGGCCCCAGCCCAGCAGCAGTGTCCTGGTTGGCAGAGTGGTGTTCACCTGGGGAGAAATGGTGGTAGGAGGCCTGCCCCTACATCAGCGGCAAGCAGTCCTGAGTCGCCTGGGAAACCAGGTGAGCCCCCAGTGGTGCTAGGCAGTAAGAGCAGGCTGCAGGAAGATGCCACAGGGTAACTGGACACCAGATGAACTTTGTCCTGGAGTTGGGAAAGATTCTGAGACCTCTCTGGCCTTTCAGATTGGGATTTTTAAGCCTGTGGTTTGCACTTCAATTGCCTGCATATGGCCTGATAACACGTGTTATCAGTAAAATTGCTTTATCATACACAACTTACCTAGATGCTGGGACTGGACCAGGTAATAAGCTACCTTCTGGTCTGAGCTCTGTAATGAGGTATCTTAGGGTTCCATTTGTGGGTGGGGTTATGTGGACAAGATCCAGGGCTGAGTTACCCTCCAAGCTTAGACCTCAGTCCTAAGTCCAGCTGGTGAGATCACCGTGTCCTTACTCAAAAGCTCCATCTCCCAATGTGAGATGACAACCAGGGACCAGAGCTCGTCCAGGTTAGGGTGATGACATCCCTTTATCCCAGGGGTCACCAAGGAAACACAACTTGCAATTTAATTTCCGGAGGGAACTAATTTTTCTCCCGAGGAGTCACCGGTGGGTTTGAACCATAGACCTCGAGGTTAACAGCCCAACACATAACTTACCACTCCATCTGGTCTCCTGGGACATCTCCCTAGTTCCTGCTTCCCACATATTCTCAGATACTACAATGTATTAATGCTAAAAATTAGTGACCACGTTCTCCTTAGAGTTCCTGGGTAGTGCAAAGAGTTAGCGCTAATGTAACTGCTAATCAAAATTCTAAAGGTTTAAAGCCACCCGGAGGCACCTGGGAAGAAAGGCCTGGTGATCTCCTTTAAAACCCAGCATTGAAACCTTCTGGGGCAGTTCTACTCTGATACCCACGGGTCAGCGCCAGTCAGGGTGCTGGACCACAGCCACGGGTGCTTTCTCATTGCTTCGCTCCAACAAAGACGGCAACGCAAGTGGAACGAGGAGACCGCTTCTGCATGGAATAATTATAGATCCCAATTTGATATCTTCAACACGAGTCAGCTGAGAGACACATTCTCTTGTAATGTCCTCCATCCCAAAAGAAAAAAAAGTGCTTGAGGCCAGAGTAGAAATTGGCCCTTTAGCCGAGAGGCCGCCTCACCTGGAGATCGTAGACATCCTTGATAACTCTGGGCACAGTGCTCAGACCCCGCCCCAGCCTCCAGCCCACACCCAGGTGTTGCTGAGATGGAGAGAGGGCGTTCTCCAGCTTTGGAAGTTGGGTCCTTACCTGGAGGGGGCCGCTTTTCTTGAGTTTCTGCTGCATGAGCTGGTAGGAAGTGAGTGTGACAAAGAGGGGCAGGAGGAAGTTGAAAAACGCCATGGTAAAGAGGAAACTGGTGAAGTTTCTGCAGGCCGGGAGAGAGGGTCGTTTCTCAGGTGACTGGCTCCACTCGTAGAGCCACCTGCCTCTGCTCTAGGTTGGTCTTTGAAATGGGCAGATGCCGGTGTTCAGTGTGATGAACCCCCTCTGGAACCAGGAACCACTGTAGGGCGTAGGCCCTCGTGTAACTCTAGGAACTAGGAAGCTGGGAGGGGGCGGGGCGGGGGGAGTGCTGCTCTGAGTTCAGGGGCCCAGCCATGCTTTCTGAAAATTGCCCTGCTCTCCTGGGTGTCCACCAGGGAGAACGAAAAGGAAGGCCTTCAAGGGGGGACTGGACACCCTGGGGAACACCTGTGGGAGAGCTCCAGGTGGATGTGGGCTGGGCCAATGCTCTGCACCACGGAAGCCTGCCATCAAGGACAGGAGGTTCATAAGGAGGCATCACGTGGCATGTACTGCAGGCTGCAGGGGAAGCAAGGGGGAGGATGTGGTCCACATGAGCCACTAACGTGACAGCCACTAAAGGGGCTCTCAGCGTCCTGGTTTCCCAGAGTGTGCCCTCTCTGTGGCAGGGGCCATCACACACTCAAAGTTGTCTCCTCAGTGCTGGGTCCAGGGAATTCAGAGGAACTGAACTCTAACCAAGGACCTGGTCTTTTCAGCGATGCGGATGTTATAATCAGGACAATGGACTGCTGGATACAACCAAGGGTTTATGGAGCGCTGTGACCACTGCAGCTGACACAGGCCAGTGGCAGAGACACAGCTCTCTGTCTGATGCCCCTCCATGGGCAGAGCAGTGATCCTGGACCTGCAAAACGTCCCCATCCCTCAGCCTTCAGATTTGACTCTCTGTCCAATGCCAGCTCTCAGAGTTGTAACTCAGGAGCTGAACTTGGCTGGCAAATGTTGGTACTTCAACACATGGGTTTGCAGTGGGGGCACCCATTGTTTGAGGCCTTACCTGTCACCCTTGGAGTAGTCTAGCGTGCAGCACGTGCCCAGTGGCTCATAGTCATAGTGCCCCCAGCCCAGGAGGGGCAGGGCTGCCCAGAAAGCAGAAGATAGCCACATGAAGAGCACCAGGGTGCTCGCTGAACTCCAAGTAAACTGGCTTCCTGCATGGCAGAAGGACAGTGAGGGTGAGCAGAGGAGAATCAACGGAAAGCGAGTGAGCCTCCTGGTCATGCACAGGGTCCCCTAAATCCCTCTCCCATTTTTAACTACTGGGAGCCTGCGCAAGTGGGGGAGCATCTCTGAGCCTCAGTCTTCTCCTCTGAACGATGAAGAGGATGACCCATCCCGTGGAGAGTTGCCAGAAGGAGAAAAGACATCATGGAGGGTAAAGGGCGCCCAGCAGAGGCCCACGCCATTGTCTTTAGAGGTTAGGGAGATGAAGGGAGGGGCGCGGGATGACTGTGTGATCCAGGGCCCCGTGAGGGCTGCTCAGAGGAGGACTGCAGGAAGGCAGGCAGGAGCCTAGGCGGGTCACTATTCTGGGATCTTGCTCCTCAGCATCCACCATCTCTGCTTCACGGATACTTCTGAGAACTCCTGAATCAGGACCAAGGGCCCTTTCTGTACACATGGCAGGGGAGGGGTCCTGACAACATCCTGTGGTATGATGAGTTCCACTGAACTCACCTCGTCTGTGTTCATCACCTGCACCCATGACCTTTTGACAGGCCAGATCGTAGGGAGCCCTGGGCCCAGCCTTCAGACTTCCTTCCTGTGATATCTCTTCTCGTGCAGGCCGGGGCACTGGAATTTTGTGTGGTTCAACAGCAGAAAAGAGCAGACCACCCCTCACTTACCTGATGGTTTGCTTCCATGCATCGGGTTCACATAGCATTTGTTTGGCTGTGACAATACTAAATGTCCACTTTGACTTTTAGGCTTTGGAATGGATGAACAAAGTGAAATGCTCAAGGCTGCCAGGGATGGAGGAGACCCCTCAGACTGCTGTCTGCCCCCAACTCAATTTTCCTGTGACCACGCTCGCTCTCTTCAGGATAGGACAGGGCAAGCGGGCATGGACTGCAGGAGGCAGAGAGTTTTGCGGGGAGGGTAGTGACCGATTGAGGGAACCTGGGGAGTTGGGAGGAGCTGAGAGTCCTGGGAGAGGGGCTCTAAGAGGAGGCAGGAGTGGCTCACTTTCGTCACAGGTAACAAGAAGGAAGCCCTTTGGCCGGGGAGGGGACTGGAGGGAGGCATCTGAGGAGAGATCCACAGGGGCCACTCCTAAGGTGAGCAATTCCAGAGCAGCTCGGTTTAAGAGATAAAAGGCTCGGAAGACATCAGCACACACCAGCTCTGGACCGGACTGGCCGTGTGACCCCCAGACAAGCTACGGAACCACTCTCTGTTTCTGTTTCCCATCTGCAAACCAAGGATTTGATCTGGCGGTGGGCCAATCACAGCTCCCATACTGAATCCACACACCCTGGTGGGGAGCAGAGCGGCCAGGCAGTCTATGGATGAATATGCTTTTATTTTAATGGCTCTTATCTTAGAGTGTGTCCAAGTTAGAATAATGCATTAAACCAACGATTTCACAGATACTGTTTAGAGTGGGGCTAACACATGTGGTCTAGCTTTCACAAGTGAGTCCTTTTGAACAAAAATCTGTATGGACAGGCCAGATGGTACCCTGATACAGCCAACATGCTGAAGACAGTATGAGATCATTTTGCTTGAGGAATCGAAGCTGCACTGGTCTCCCTGGAGCCTTGACCATGAAAAGTTCCTGGGAAGGGTGAGGCCCCAGCTCCACACTGTACACATCCTCTTCCTTGCCCCTGCCCCCCAACATTGCCTACCCATGGGGCCATCTTCTGTACTCAGGATCTTATTTGATTTTTAACATAAAACTGTGAGCTTGGTTATAAAAAGCACCCCCCCACCCCCACCCCTGCAAGAGGAGAAGACCGAGGTTCAGGGAGGATCCCTGATCTGTCTGGGGCTTCATCGATGGCAAAGGGAGCCTTCCATGGCTTCTACTTGTCATACCTCCGCACTTTCCCATCTCCGTCCTGTCCTGACATGAGTGCTACACTCACGCACTCTGACACCCACCCAAACTCGCCGGTGCCAGGAACCGTTGATGGGGACTTCATCCTGACCACCCCTCCCTCCCTGCTCCTCCCCCTCCCCAATCTGGATGGGCTACCCTGCTCTGGGACCCCAAAGACGTACGGGTGCAGTAATGGTGGTAGCGTTCCCAGGCAATGGCTGCACAGCTGCAGATGCTGGCCAGGGCCACCGTGAAACCTTGGAAGCCGTGTGCCTGGCAGCCGCCTGAGCCATAGGGCCAATGCCTGTAGGGATAGGGACACTGGGTACCAGTAACTCCTCCCCTCCTCTCTACCCCCCGCCCCCCACTTCCCATGATCACTTTGGAGGCCACAACCAGCCCCGAGGGAGCTGCGCTTTCCCACAAGAAGACTGGGGCTGAACAGCTCATGCCTCTCCCTGGAAGAGGTGGGTTTGGAGGCAAGCTCTCCCAGCTAAGCATCTGTGTGTTATCCTCCCTGTGTGGCCCAATGCTGGTGTCACAAGAAGTACAATGGGTTCAGAGTGCTCATGGCTGTATTTGACACACGGGTAAGTGAGCCTCAGAGAGCCTTATGCAGAGCATGAAGGTCAAGTCAAAGACTTCAGGCTTCCCAACTCTCAAGCCCATGGGCCAAGCAAAGGTGAAGCTGCAGTTGCCCTTCCTGGGTGGAAGGAGAGGAGGGGGGTAGAAGGTTAGGGTGCATTAATGGAAGAGCTCTTCAAATTTAGACAGATGGTCTTGAAATGGCAAGTTTAATGCCCAAAACAAAAAAACATGGAATAGTTAGTCTTCCTAAGAAAACAAACCAGTGAGTTTGTTTTCTGCAACCCTTCTGCAGCCCTGATCCGAGACTGCGCTTTGCAAGAAGGAGGCCCTGATACTTGATAAAACATTGTTTGCTTTCACAAACACTTATTTAAGTCTTACATGTGTTGAGCAAGTAGCACTGGTAGCTCAATGGTTTAACACTTAGCTACTAACCCGAAGATGAATGGTTTGAATTGGCAGCAGGAGAAAAGATCTAGCCATCTTGCTCTTGTGAAGATCGTAGCTTGGTAAACCCTATGGAGCAGTTCTAGACCATTCGGTAGGGTCACCACGAGTCAGAATTGATTCAGTTGCACACAACAACGTTATGTGTTGAGCGCTGTTCGAGGTTACTTGCAGCTAACCCCTCTGCATTTCTACCTACCCATATGGTTTAGGTGATAACATGCCATGTACCGAGGAGAGTCAGAGCTAGAAACTATGGAGCCGGGTCCCAAACCCAGGTAATCTAGGTCCCTAGAATAGTTGTGAAGAGGTAGTCCATGCTCTCAATCTCTATAGTGTACCCTCTCTGTTGACCAAGTGTGAACAGTTCCTGGCCTTCAGAAACCACTCTGAAGGGGAAGTCTGCAATCCAGACATAGCTTAGCACAGCCTGCCCATCATTTACTCACAGGCTAGCTTTCCACTGTGGGAAGAACTCGGCCTTGAACCTGCTGTTCTGATGCTGCTGTCCCGCACCCAGAGGTTAGCCCTGGGGTGGGCCTATAAGCCCATGGAACGCATGGATGCATGAGGGTGGACAAGACAGACAGAGGCAGTACCGGCAGAGGCTGGATATGGCTGCCACCAGGGCATTCAGGCTGATCCCACTGTCCGCCAGGGCCAAGCTCAGCACCAACAGGTGGCCAGGTGTCCGGATCGCTGGGATCTTGCAGAAAGAGAGGATGGTCAGGCCATTGAGACTGAGGCCGGAGAGTGCTGAAAGGAAGAGTAGGGTGTGGCATCAAGGTTGGTGAGCCCACTGGGACCCAACCCATGTGCCTCGTGGTGGGTGGAGCTTCAGCTTCCTTTCACCCACAGTTCTTCTATACCTAGGGCTGACCCTTAGACACAGACAGCAGAGGCACACACCTTGACCTCTGCACTCACTGTCTAAAGTGAGACAGTCAAGGACACAGCGTAGTACAGTGAGGTTCATGCTATGATAATAGATATGGCACCCACTGAGCTCTGTACCCTAGTCTTCCCCATGTATTGTGAGAAATGGAGGCTCAGAGAGACTTGCTACCTGGATCTGATCAAAAACTAGTCATTGGGGAAGCTGGTTGAACACAGGTCTCTTAAATTCCAAAGTACCTGCTTTTCCCAATAGGGCATGGGAGCAGAGTCAAGGAGAGTCTGGGTGAGGCAGAGTGTGGAAGGTGCTGTGAGGATGGGAGGCAGGAGGTCTGCTTCAAATGAGCTGTCTCCAGCTCAGAGAGGCTCGACCTAGAGTTTCGACTCGACCAAACTCCTTCGAACTCTCTGACTCGACTCCTTCAAATCTCTGAACCTTAGCTTCTCTCGCTTAAATGAAAACTGTGGGCATTTACAGGGGAAATAAATGGAGGAGCATTCCCGAAAAAGATATAGCGTGCTAAAATGTCATGGCCTGATTGGGGACTGGAGGGAGGCTAGGCTGCAAGGTTCTTGGAAGAGGGGGCACTGGGACTGTGCCTGTGGCTACCATTCCCTCTCCACTATGATTCTCATCGGGTGAGAAAGTGTGTGGATCACTTCTCTGCAATTGCTTTGAATAAGGGCTGGATCCCCATCAATCCACTCTTCAACTGATCTAGCCATACTGTCTATGCTGTCCAGACTCTGGTCTCAATGAGCCTCTTAGGTGTGGGATCTAAGTGGACACAGGCACATCCTGGGCTGGACTGTCTGTCAGTGGACTTAGGGGGGTGAGGGGTGGTAGACACATGGAGCTAGAACAGACGAAACAGATCAATTTAACCCCCCCATGTGTCTACACAGGCAAGCACTTTGTGTCTATACAAAGCTATCCTAACCATCTGTGGTGTGCCAGCACTTAGACGACATGAGCTGCGGGGACTTGGTCACATTGACACAGACCGTTACCATAGCGTTTACCATAGCTTTTAAGGGTCTGGCATTTTACAGGAGTCTCAGCAGGACCTCCTGGGAGTGAGTTAAACTTCCTCCTGGTTGGAAGGACACAGGAAAAAAAGTCAGAAGCCTTTAATCTTGGTCATCTTCTGTCAAATGCCCTCTCAGAAACATCTCCCTCCTCGACTCCAGCTGGGCCCTACACTCTGGGTCCCCACCTCAAGCTGCACCTCATAGAGACAGCAGTTCTGCTGGCCCTGGTCTTGTGCCAGGATCAGGTGGCCAAGAAGACGCAACACCCTGCCTGGTTTGGGGGAAAATACTTGCCGGATGATAGCTGTGACTCGATTCTTGAGAACCACAGGGTTCTTGTCCTTGTTGTCTGGCCCAACTCACCTTCCACCAGCAGCACTGTGCCCACAGCCAGCACTTCAAGCTCCCCGAAACCAGGAGGCAGGGTTCTGGGCTCTACCATGCTTGACTCCGACCCTTGTTGGCTCACTCTTCTCTGGATCCTCAAGTAAGGCTTCCCTTTTAAAGGGCTGCTCACATACAGCCCATTTCTTATGCTGAATCTTGGGCTACCCCTGCTGCCGCCCTTCAAAGTTTTGGCCCGAAGAGAAGGAATTCATTCATCAGTTGAACAATAAGACCTTTGTGAACCTGGATGGAGTCCTGTCTCATTCATTTCAGCCCCACCAGACTGGATTAAAAAGCAGGAGTCCAAATAGCAGAATTGGAAAAGAGTTGCATAATTAGCCAAGAAAAGAGTGGAATGAGGGATTTGAGCTGCAGCTGGTCCTGAGAGTTGGGTAGGAGCCAGGTTCGTCCATGTTCGCAGGCATTGGCAAGCTGAGCCTCAGTGCATATGCATATGTGTGCACCAGAAAGCATGTATGTGTAAATGTGAGCTTTGCATGCATACAGGTGTGTGTATAGATTTATGTATGTGTGTGAGCATGTGCAAATGTATGTTCTTGGGTGTGTATGTGGTGTGCGCTTCTGATAAAGTGAATGATCACAAGTGTTGGAGGAAGCTTGAGGGTTAAAAATGGTTAAAAAAAAAGATAGATGTTGGAATACCCTTTTGACAATGAGTGTGATACCATTCCTTTTCAATTTGTCCTTCCCAGTCTCTTAGGCCAGAATATGGTCTGATTCAAACTGTACAATACCAGTCCATTTGACCACACGAATGCTTAGGATATTGATCTTTATGTGGACCCTCTTATTTCTCATGGATTACAATTTTCCTAGATTCCTACTTCACATTCCAAGCTTCAATTATTAGTGGATGTTTGCAGCTGTTTCCTCTCATTTTGAGTCCTGCCTCATCAGCAAATTAAGGTCCCCAAAGTTTGCTGCACCCACCTGATGAAGGTCGACTCTATTTTGAGAAGGCGGCTTCCCCCCGTTGTATTTTGAGTGCCTTCCAACCGCATGGGCTCTTCTTTCAGCAGTAGAGCAGAAAATGACCTGCTGCTGTTCAGCAAGTTTCCAACGACAAGTTACACAGAAGTGGCTTGCAGCTTTCTTCCTCTTTAAAAGATGATCCCTTCAGGACCAGTGGTGGCAGTGGAGATACTGGGACGGGGGGAGGAAGGGGGGTTGGAAAGGGGGAGCCTATTACAAGGATCTACAGATACCCTCCTCTCTGGGTGATGGACAACAGAAACGTGGGCGAAGGGAGACATCGGACAAGGCAAGATACGACAAAATAATAATTTATAAATTAACAAGGGTTCATGAGGGAGAGGGAGGGGAGATTGGGGAGGGAGGGGGAAAATGAGGAGCTGATGTCAGGGGCTTAGGTGGAGAGCAAATGTTTTGAGAATGATGAGGGCAATGAATGTACAAATGTGCTTGACACAATTATTGATGTAGGTATGGATTGTGCTAAGAGTTGTATGAGCCCCTAATAAAACGATTAGAAAAAAAAGAAAAACAAAAACTTCACTCGCTGCCGTCGAGTTGATTCTGACTCAGATCGATCCTACAGGACAGGGTAGCACTGGCCCTGTGCACTTCTAAGGCTGTAAGTCTTCCCAGGAATAGAAAACCTTTTCTGCTCCCAGTTGGGCAGTTCTTCCTCCCAGTCTGTTTTCATCTGGAAGCTCAGCAGAGACCTGTCCACCATGGGTAACGCTGCTGGTATTTGAAAGATTCGTGGCATACATTCCAGCACCACAATACAACAAACTGGCAGGGCAGTATAGAAGGCAGCATAATCATGCTTATTAAATGCTCACAATGGGTCAGGCCATATGCTGTATGATTGCATAATAATTCCTACAGCAACTTCATGAAGTAAAGCCCAACATTTTAGGCGAGGAAATGGAGGTTCAAGTAATTAAGAATTGGCCTGAGGTTGCCTTGTGACTCAGGGTAGAGCTGGCACAAATGACCCATTTCCTGTGCCTGGGCACTAGCACCTTCATCAGCACCCTCTGACTTTGTGTGGGCCAACCAGCTCACTGTGTTCCGTCAATGGCTCTCTGTTTCCCATTGCGTTAGTCTAGGTACATTAGAGAAACACATCCACCGAAATGCGCATATGTATAAGAAAGAGTTTTATATACAAAAGGAATTGAACATTGAGAAAGCATCCCAACCCAGTCCAGTCCAAGGCCGTAAGTCCGATACTAGCCCATATGCCCGATACCAGTCTATAAAGTCCTCTTCAGACTCACAAGACACATGCAATAATGCCAAATGCAGGACGATCACAGACCATGGGGTAGAAAATCTTTGGATCCAGTGGCACCGTAAGCATCTCAGCGCTGGCAGAGATCTCTCTGTGGTTTCTCCGGCTTCAGAGGTCTGGTTGCATCCATGTGGCTTTTCCAGCTCAGGGCACTAGGGTAGTTCCATGTGTCTTGTCAGCTGCAATGTCTCCCAGGGAGTCAGAGAGAAAGAAGTGTCTCTTGCCTCCAAGGAGGAAGCACCGGATTTCCCAGAATTCTCAGGAGAAGGCCATGCCCACCCAGAGGCCTCATTGGCTATGATCTGATTGACAGGCTAGACTCCACCCTACATGCTTAATCCTTAAATTGACAATGATGTAACTACCAGACGCATGGCTTTCCTCTCAGAGGGGCTGTACCTATATCCAAGTATAACAACTAATCAGAATGTTAGATTCCTTAGGTGAGAAACATCTTGGTCCTTGGCTTCACACAAGAAAACATTCACGCTGAAGCCTGGTTTGTGATCCAAGTGGGGCTTTTGTTTTATAAAGGATAGAAGAAGTTTAAGGTTTTACAGTCGCTGAACGTGGGACTGCATCCCCACACACGTGGTGATCTGAGGCCTGAGAGAGAGAGACCGCAGCATGGCCAAGTGGAAGGCAGAGGAGTAGCAGGAAAAAGAGCGGTGGTCTCCAAGTTCCGGTTTTTAGGACCTTCTGCTAGGAGGCGTGGTCGATGGTACTTGTTGACCCCATTGACTGACTTAAGCCCACTTGGCCTAGATTGGGCCAATCCAGGTGTACTGGCCACCTAGGTGTACCACTTCCCACCCCTCTCCCCGGACCCCACCGCCTTGGGGTCTGAATTGGTGCATGCCTGGTGGACACCCTGGTCCCTGCTCTGCTACCTAACATTTCCCCACTGATGGGGCATGGACTCAAATCTTTGGGGAACTGGGCGATGATATCTCTAGCTGCTTCCTGCTGGCAAAAGTGCCACGGAGTGGGACTTTGGGTCCACACTCTGTGGGAAGGGGTTGTCCACTCAGGGCCCTTGATAGACAAAGTTGGGGTGGTCCAGGAGCTGGGGGTCCTGGAGTTGGCGCACTGGGTTCAGAGAGATTGGTACCCTGAGGACTTCTGGAAGAAACAAACAGGTGGACAGTTTAGGTGAGACAGGGGCAAGGCTGTGAGGTGGTAGTGCCCTTGGAGGTGTGGGTTAGCGTCTTGGGAAGTGTCGAAAAGAAATCTTAGGGCTGACAGGCATGGGTGCTAGTTTACTTTAAACACAGGAATGATGTCAAAGCATTTACTGGCTTAAAGACTCTCATGGGGCTGAGGTAGGGGTTTCTGTGGAATACGGATCTGTCCTGGGTGGCAATGGAACACTCCCCAACAGCTCTCAGGGGTGCTTGTCTGTATGCCCTGCTTCTGAGGGGTCTGGGTGCAACAGCGCCCACAGTTTCACCTGCGAATGGTGCCCAGGGTCAGGGGAGAAGGTAAGGACAGAATATAATGGGGGGCAGATCCTCCAATACCCATCTAGAAAATATAGTCAGCAGAGAAGTCACGAAAGCTCGATGCATCAAGGTCAGTTACCGCAGTTTCCACACACACTACTAGGATGCCGTAAAACTGGGGCCTTGAGCAGGTGCCCCTGTATGAGGGAGGGGTTGGGGACCCAGTTTCTGGCAGCAAACTGGACCCTGACTTTTCTAGACAGCCTGCCAACTTGGGTGACCGTATAGGGCCTATGGAGGAAACTACTGGCATGCATAATTCACCAGACCTCCCAAGGTGAGACTACAGCTTGGAGTGGCCTGCTAGTAGCCTTCAAGGGTGACCCCTGGCACGAGTGGCCTTCTGAAACTCTGAAGGGGAGGAGAGACCATCAATTGGCTCAGGGGACGTGGTAGGGAAATTGGGATCCTTGGCTGGACCAGGCACGTGCTGAAGGCAGAATTGCTGAAAGGCCTTTGGAGACAAGTTAATTACTCAGGGGTTTGGCTTCGAATGCCTTTGGCCAAGGTTTTGGCAACAGAAAACCAGCTGGTAGGAAAAACGAAAAACAAACCAGAAACTTGCACACTGGCAGAATGCTAAAGCAGCTTGTTTGTAAAACCAGGAGAAAACACAAGGGAGGGGCGGGGAGCGTCCAACCATCGGGCACTAGGTGGGGTGGCTGTTTCCAGGGCAGAGCAGCCAGCCCAGTGAGCACTGGGCCCCCCTGTGTGTTTGGAGCAGTGGGCAGCATCTTGGCAGGGATCACGTGGTCAGTTGTCCCATGTGCTACATGGAGAACGAAATGCTTTCTGCCCTCACTCAGAAATACCCTGTGCGTTTGTCATTACCAGAAGGGCTGAAGCAAACGAGTTGTGAGTGTGTGGACCCACAGCGCACTCAGGGGGAGCAACTGTTGGCCAGCAGACTGGGAAAACTCATGAGCCCATGGGACACTCTCTGAGTTTCAACTCCCACCCCCAAATATCTGGATATTTTTTTTCCTAATCATTTTATTAGGGGCTCATACAACTCTTATCACAATCCATACATACATCAACTGTGTAAAGCGCATTTGTACATTCATGGCCAAATATCTGGATATTATTACTCCTCCATGAGCAAATTATCATCAAGTACAAGCAATATTTGAGTACTAACTATTCGTGTCCCATTTGTCCATTTACTGTATTGCGGTGGCTTGCATGTTACGATACACTGTGCCACTGGTACTAAGTACCAGCATGGTTACCCACAGGAGGCAGATTTCAGCAAAACTTCCAGACTAAGATCGACTTGGAAGAAACACTTGGAGACTTTCTGAAAATTAACCCATGAAACCCTATGGATCACATAGTATTCCTAGATGTTGACTCTCTTACTTTGGAAGCTTCTTTGGGAGAATGCAATTGCTGGCTAAGGAGAGACCAATGATCATGAGGATCATTCAGGACCTGGGGGTTTCCAGGAGTTAGGGCTGACTCTATGGAAACTAACAACAGCAACCACACAATCTGTCAAGACCTGGGGACACCTGGGTTATTGAATGTTCTTTAGCACCCCGGAGAGAGTAATATTACTTCTCACTTTCTGATGAGGGCAGATGTGGCAAAGAGATTATGTGATCCACTCAAGGCCATGGACTGTTAAGTGCAAGAGCTGGGATTTGAACCCAGAGAGGCTGGCATCAGAACCTAGCCTCTTCGGAATGACTTCATGGTCTCAGGAGCGCTCTGTGTCTGTCCCCTGACCCCACACTGAGCCTACGCACCTGGCTGTTTCTGTGCTTCCCCTGGCCTGGTTAACCCAGACAGAATTCCAGGTGGGAAGTCAGTATAGTAACTGCATATCCTTGTAGGCAGCCTACCCACTCCATTTCAAACACCCTGAGCTCCCTAAGCCTGGAGCTGCAGCTGTGGGAGCTCCCTCCCTCCAAAGCTCAGGACTCGGGGATGCTGGGAAGCACTAAGCACTAAGCTGTTGACTGCTGTGGCTGAAGCTCCTCTCCTAATCCCCCCTCTCGCTCTGTTTATCTGATGGCCTCGGGTGGGGCCCGGGTAGCAAGTGGACAGCTGGGCTTTCAAGGCTGGTGAGATCGAGCAGGCAGAGACAGGCCTGCCCAAGGTGGAGAGGAGCTGGGAGACATGAAGATGGCAGTTGGCATGCTCTGGCTTCTGGCCATCTGGGGACTCCCCCGGGCCTGGGGCTCTTGCCCCTCACAATGCAGCTGCAGCCTCCGTATGCTGGGTGACGGCGGAAGGACCAGGTACGCCACCAGGAGCCGGGAAGGGCTCTGCCAGCAGGGCTGAGGGGGTGGGGTGGAATACAGGCTCTCCAACTATGGCTGGGTGAGACCCCTATCCTCTGCCCCAAAGGCTTAGGGGTGCTCTGGGAGTGGTTTTCATGACGTTACAATCGGCAAGCAGGGGTTTGCGCCATTCCCAGGAGGAACCTGGACAGATGGGTGTAGGCCATGGGATTTGAAGCTCCCGAAATCCTTCCGGAAGCCCTTCTTCGGGCTTCTGATGAACTGAAACAGGAGATGGGCAGGTAGTTGCCCTCTGTTATCTCTTTCGCTTCCTTCTGTGGCTTCTTTCACTCCATCCTCTTATTTGTATCGCTCCTTCACCCAATCCTATTCGGGGTGTCTCCTCCTACCCCAGGCCTTCATGTACTCCCTGCTTTTGGGTCTCTTCTGGCGTGGGACCAGCAAGCTCAAGAGTACCACTCACTGTAGGCCAGATGCTCTCTGCCCTCTGGTCCTCTGACTTCCTCTCCCATGCGAATCTGAGTTCATGTGAGCATTTCCTCTCGCCCCTTCCTCTCTGGCCCTCCTCCCACTGGAACGTTCCCGATGGCCGCTGCTGCTGTGGACTGTCCATTTCCCACCACGGTTCAGTTGTTCCTTCTGTTTCTAGCATGTGGTCTGAAGAACAAAAAGAGCTCAATTTTTGATCCACCTGTCCAAGGCTCGAACTCCAAATATGGCAGGTAAACATTATCTCCCCAAGTGAGGTTAAGGATGAGCCCTGAGGAGGTGACTGGGGAATGGCCCCTGACCAAGGACAGCATGATCCAGGCGATGAGGGCTCCCAACCCCCTACCCCCACCACACAGAGAAAGGGCCTCCATCCAGGTCCCATAGCCTCAGAAGCAGAGCCCGTCCTGAAGCCAGGACTTCGGATTCCATCTCCACATCTCCTCCCACCGGCAAGGACCAGAGATGGCTGCAGGCAGCTGGTTGCCTTCGGCTGAAAAATGACTTTCCAGGGCCAATTCCTGGGGTCCCTAACATCAGGCATGGCCATTCTCACCCCTGGAATGAGAGCTGGTTGAGTGTCTGCCTGGTGTGCGGCAGGCCAACTCCTCGGTGCGTCTGGTCAAGGTGTCTGAAGCCCTGGTTGGCTGAAAGCCCAGTTTGCGCAACTTGCCGGAAGCCTTCATCCGGCTGACTTCTCCCAGAGCCCTCAGAGACTCCAGTGCTCATGTCTGCGCCGGCTGGGCCGCTGTCCTCTCTCCAGAGGCCCTTGCCATATGCAGCATGGAACTTGCAGACACGGGGTTACCATGGGAGCTCTGTGCTCTTCATGCACAATTGCCCCCCTGGAAGTCATGCTTGCGTTAGTCTCTTATGTGTTTCCTTTGAGTCCTGCCTTGACTCTTTTCTCCCAACCCCATCCATCCCCTCCCTTCCCCTACAAGCAGACCTTCCTCCCTGCAGCACCCAAATCTGTATATTTCTTCTGGAAACATCAGTGCCTTAGCTGCTCTTTCTTCTCTACCTAGATTGCACCCTATGGCAAGAGGGGCAGTCGGATAACTTTCTGAATGGCTGCCACCCTCAGCATTGAAGAGGGATTCAATGTATGTGTCTAGAACACGTGGCCCAGACCCACTGACCCTGAGGTCAGACATGGGGAATATCTGTGTCTTTCTGTGGTCCCAGTTTACAGGAAAGCCAGACCCTGATGCGGGCTAAAGTGAATGGATGCTGGTGGTATGTGTGTTGCAACAGGAAGGCCTGATGTTTGCCATACGCAATGGCATCACAAAAGAATGACCTCCTTAGCAAAGAGAAACAGGGTGAGCACAGAGGTACTCCAGATGAAACTGTCCCTGGGCAAGGACTGGCCTCCTGATGCGCCCACTCTGAGCTTTTCCTTCTTCTTGGGACTGTTTCAGGCTGGGTCTTAACTTTCTGCAAGTAAACTGACATTGGCGATCATATGAAACACATGTTTAAATTGTACACTCGTTTAGCGCAGGGGCTGCTTCTTGTTGATCTCTCTAGCTTCAGCTTTCTTTCAGTGTTCAATTTGATAGCACCAAGTCTAGGAAGTCCTTGTTGAGGTGGAAGGGAGCGCTTCCTAAAATGAACTCTCTCTCTGTGGAGCATTGGCGTGCAGAATTCCCAATGGTCTGTATCACTGGCCTCCTGCAGTATACCCTATGGGTATGGCGCTGAGCTTGTCGACACCCTCAACTTGCACATACCCTATCCAACTTAAACTTCATGCCTTCCTGGTGAGGTGCTATCGACCAAGAAGGGGAACTAGAGACCAAGAGGCTGCAGGGCCAGAAAGCCAAGAGACTCCATCATAAGCAGCAGGATTAGCAAGTCCCAGCTCTGAGAAATCTCATCATCGATGGTCTCTCAGGCCTAGAGAGGCCCAAAGGCTTCCACTATCCTAATATCTATGTGGCTTTCAATGAAGAAAAGCCCCAGTAGCTACAAGAAGGGAGGGATGATTTAACAACCCGTGACACGTACAAGGCACACAACTAATCACAAAACCAACTTAGGATTTATTCACTGTTGATTCTCTGGGGAGCACAGATGGGGTGGCCCTGGGATGGGACATCAGCTTCAAGCTTGAGGTCCTTCCCGTCAGTGAACGGACCTCAGCTAACCCTCTGGGATCTCAGATGACCCTCCAGGGCCTTTAGGGCATGACATCTTGGAGGCTTCTGTGGGATGTTGGGAGGTGGGGGTGGGCGTCCAATTCAGTAGGGCCCCTTCTCAACTGTCCTTTATGTTTGTTACCAGGACGGTGGTATGCAATGACCCCGACATGACACTGCCTCCAGCCTCCATCCCTCCAGACACTTGCCAACTTCGACTGGAGCGAACCGCCATCCACAGGGTCCCTGGGGAGGCCTTCAGCCTACTGGCTCACCTGGAGCAGTTGTGGCTGCCTTACAATGCCCTCAGTGACCTCAGCACCCACATGCTGCGTGGTCTGCTGCACTTGCGTGAGCTGCGGCTCCCAGGGAACCGTCTGGTGACCTTCCCATGGGCAGCCCTCAGGGATGCACCCCAACTGCGGCTACTGGACCTGCAGGCCAATCGTCTCTCTGCTGTGCCGATGGAGGCCACCCGCTTCCTAGGGAACCTCACCTTCCTGGACCTCTCTAGCAACCAGCTGATGAGGCTCCCGAAGGAGCTGCTGGCCACCTGGGCCCACCTGCAGGTGGGACCCTTCCTGCCTGGTCAGCGAGCGAGGCTGGTCTTAGGTAAAGGATTCTGTTGACTTCTGCTCTTCCCCAGGAACAACCCAGCTGAGCTGTGGGGTTTGGGGCAAGGTACACGAGCCTCTATGAGTCATGGTTCTTGACTCAGAACATGGAATTTATATCTATCACGAATGTGATGCACATGGTTGACACATTCAGCTGTTAACCAAGAGGTTGAAGCTTTGAGCCCACCCAGAAGTTTCTCAGAAGACAGACCCCGGGCTCTCCTTCTGAGAAACCAGCCATGGCAAACCCTCACAAGTCAGATGGACTCAATGGCAGCGATTTTTGTTTGGTTTTGTTTCCAAGTGTGAGTGGAGATGGAGTGGGAGCCACAGAGTGGCCGGCTCAGGAGTTCAACCTCCGAGTCAGATGGCTGGGATTCAAACCCTAGCTCTGTCGCTCCTACCTGTGTGTCCTTGGCAAATGATTCAGCTTCTGTTAAGGGAGGATGCTAATAACCTCACAGGTTGGCATGGTAGAGAAGAAGGCAGTGCTGAACACACAGGATGCACATGGCCAAAGACAGACACATGTTGTGATCTCAGCTCAGAAAGGACAGGGTGTGCTGTCTGTCAGGGGCTGGCTCAGAGGCATAGTCCCTTCAACAAAGACTATACCTTTTCCAGGGATGGGCTCATCTAAGATCTAGCACCACAAGAGTCTGAAAGTTCAATCATTTGGAATTCCTCTGGTGGGATCTTTCAGTCCGAGTGGCTCCCAGGTGTCAACCTGGTCCCCATCACAGCCCCACTTCTCTTTCTGAGCCTTCCCTTCTTTTCTTTACTACCGTAGTTCCTTTCCCTTCTGCAAGTGCAGATTCTATGGGCCCTCTTCCTCTTAATTCACTTGGTGCATGCTAATCTTTATCTCAGAGTCACTTCTGGGGGAGCCCATGCTTCAGTTGTACCCAGAGCACATGAATGCCCCTCTTGGAGAGGATTCTCTGCCTGCTCTACACAGATGGCCGTCTGTGTGCTTTGTCAGTTGCTCTCTCTTTCCTGTCTGTGTTGGTGTGACATTAAAGGTCACTTTCAAAAGGTGGTTTCATGGCTACAGGTTGGGCTGTGATCTGCATGGTCGGCAGTTCGAAGCCACCAGCGGCTCCACGGGAGAAAGCCTGGGCTTGCTACTCCCGCAAACAATTACAGTCTCAGAAACCCACAAGAGGCCACTGAGTCAGCATTGACTCCCCGGCAGCGAGTCACCCCTCACAGAAGTTGATTCAAACACCATCCCAGGAGGTAAAATTCCCATTGGATTCCGACTCATAGTCACCTGAAAGAACCGAGTGGAACTACTCTTTAGGATTTCTGAGGATGAACACCTTTATGGGAGTAGACAGTGTCATTTTTCTCCTGCAGAGTGGCATGTGGGTTTGAACTACCAGCTTCGTGGTTAGGAACCAACAATGAGCCCACTGCACCCCCAGGACAGCATCTCGTAGAAGCGCAAATACAGACCAGAGTTGTAAACCCACGTCCACCACTCACAACGCCGTTTGTTCATCAGAGGGCGCCATATTTGCGCTCTCTCTGTCCCTCTGCAAAGGAGTCCTGGGGGAGTTGGAGTTACTAATTGAGCTGCTAACTGCAAGGCCAGTAATTCCAAACCACCAACCACCCTGTGGGAGGAAAAGGAAGCGTTCTACTTCCATAAAGAGTTACAGTCTTGGAAACCCGCAGGGCCATTCTACTGGGTTCTATAGGGTTGCTATGGGTCGACATGGACTTGAGGGCAGTAAGCTTGGTTTTCTGATTCTCTGCAAGGAACCCTGGTGGTGTGGCGGGTTACACATTAGACTACCGACTGCAAGGTCAGTGGTTTAAAACCACCAGCTGCTCTTTGGGAGAAAGACGAAGTCTAAGGAACCCACAGGGACAGTTCTACTCTGGCCTGTAGGACTGCTGGGAGGCAGGATCTACTTGATGGCAGTGAATATGATCCTTTGCCATGTCCTGGATCTTATGTGGCAACATTAGAAAAGGAGACAATAACGCCATCTGTAGCGGCTTTATTGGGTATGGTTGAATGGAACTAGATGGGCTTGAGGTCCAGCCTTTCTGTTTCCTACTCTGTCTTCAGAAGTGGCTTTTCCAAATATCTCCTCCTCAAGAAAGTCTCTGGCCTTAGAGCTGGGGCTACTCAAAACCCCTAGGATCTCCTTAATCCCACCTTTCTCCAGCAGAGCCTCTGCCTCCAGTGCTAGATCCAATAAGAGTCAGGGCAGGCTCTGTGTACATCCCACAAGGAGCACTCAAGAAATAGAGGCAGGATCCTCTCCTCTTCATCACCCTCACGGCTCCACTGTGGTTCCTGCGCCCTTATGGAATAGCGTGGCCCTTTTCTAGCATTGTCGGATCAGATCGAGAACATCACACAGGGCATACTTATACAGAAACATCATTTGTGGATGACCTGGCATCCAAATTTAACTAGGTGTCCTGTATTTTACCCCCTAAAGCTGGCAGCTCGATTCCATCAGCCATGTCAGGGGGTGAGAGCAACAGCCCAGCATTATGATGAAACTGAGATGCACTAGGTCTTTAAAGTCGTGTAAGCAGGAAGGACCCCTTAGGACTCAGTGTCACAACTCTATGTTGAGTGGGTTAGCATAAGACACCAGCTAACCCTTCTGTCTCTTTGCTTTCTCCCCCTTTCCTAACAATCAGGTGCTTCCCAGGTAAATCACATCTTCTTTCCTGCCCAAGACACCTATGTGGCCCTGATGGTAGCACACGTAGGCATAACTCGTAATGGAAAATCAATTTTAATTGTATAGCTCATGCATGGATGGATGCGACCATTTAAAATATTACAGGGGAGGCTAAAGCCACTTTTGTCCCTTCTTCCTATTCCAATTCCTTTGCGTTCTCCCAAAGGTGGCCACTGTTACCATACTTGCTTACATATCTCCTGTCTTTTAATTTACAAGCACATACATACATAAAAGTATCTAAATTAATTCTTATTATATTGTATATATCAGCCAGCAGTAAAAATGCCGTCCCCAAATCTCTCTTGGCCATCCTCCTCAATGACTATAAGTGGACCAGCTCCACTTAAAAACATTGCTATACAATGTTTTGCAGTAGAGCTAGACTCCCATTTATTTAGCCCTTTCTCTATTTATGGACATTTAGGTTGTTCCCCTTGTGGAACTACAACTATATAATGTCACAGAGAACGTATGTGCCCACGTCTTTCTAGAATTGGTGCTGAGAGGTGCAGATACTGGCTCCTGGACTGTACACAGGAAGCATTGACATGCCAGTCTGATACTCTCTAAACGGGCCAGACTAGTCCTCACGCCCAAGAGTAGAGAGAGAGAGTACACTGAAGAGTAGAGAGAGAGAGGACACCGCCCGGGTTGCCTGCCAGCATGTGGGCCTTGCTCTGTGTTCTGGGAAACAGCAGTGAAAGCAGCTTATCATTAAATTGGCCAATATGCTTACCTTGGACAAGTTTGCAGGTCAACGTTTCGCTGTTGTTTAATTCTGCCTTTTGAATTACTTGCTTCAGGACCCTGTGATGAGAAGGCCATGTAGTTTAGAGAACTACCAGAGCTAAGCAGTGACCAATCTTAGGCTCCAGATGAAATGTTAAGTGCAGCTTCTATCAGGGAGACACTGCAGGGGTAGGGGATGGATGAAGGTGGCAGAAGGGAATGGCATCCTTCCTGTGTGTGCTCCGAAGGAACTGGGACTCACAGCTGTGTCCTCAGATCTTTAATGTAGTCCCCACCCCCACCCAGCCTTTGGACATTCCCCTTCCAAATATGTCAAATATATATACATCACGGACTACTAGACACACTATCAGTTTAATAACAGCTTTGTGTGTGTGTGTGGGGTATCACTCCGTGCATTAATTTTACATTTGCAAATGTGTAACAAGCAATTGTGTCTTAGGAGGGCACAATGCCCATTTCCCTCCACATGAGCCTCTTTGACAAGGTGGTGTCAGGGTTACTAGCTCCTAACATATCATCACAGGTCCAGTAGGCGTAATTGCACAGCGATAATAAATAAAGATTATAGTAAAGTCATAGAGAGCATGAGAAATAGAAGAGAGATTGAAATAATGGTGTCAGACACATTTCATGGTAGCATGCTCACCTCAGCCTCACTTGGTGGTCCACGTGGAGAGAGAGATCTTTATTGCTAACCAAGGCTTTTATATTCTCTGGGGAAGTGCAAGCCCCCTAATTACAGGGGAAGACATACGTCACAGGAAAGGGTAATAGGTAATACAGTAATGGGAGGGGGGTGATCTAGGGGTATCCACATAATAGGAAGAGGAGGGATTGGGGTATACATGTGACAAGATGGACAGATCCTAGATTCTGGATGGCAGCCTTACTTTGGATGTCACTGCGCCTCTGGTTTGACCTGTTCTCTGGCTCACTATAGACACCTTTGTCAGTAGGGTGTAAGCTTCATCTCAGGGACCAGACTAATGGTTGCAAGCCTCTGGGAGAAGGTAGCCTATTGTCCTTAACAGCAGGGAGCGGGCCCTACCTGTGGAGGGACCAGACAGTAGTCTGGCAACTGACTGCCTTCAGGGAGGTAACTTGACAATCATTTACCATTCGCTGCAAGCAGTGTCCTAAGTCTAACATCTATTTGGGGGAGACGACTTGGGAGAAACCTTTCTGTTTCCCGCAAGGTGGGACTCATGCCCTGTTTTCAGGTTGATAGCGATGTTCATTTTTCTGTCACAGAATTTGAACGCATGGCCTTTTTGCTCCTCCTTTCACCCCCATTTGAGCCTGTGTCAAAGGGCTCAGGGCTCCAAGCAGCCACGCTCATTGCCAGAGGAATGTTCTAAGTGCCATTTATCCTGGGCGGACAGGAGACAGGAGTCAGGGAGGCATTTTCAGAACTGGGTTTTGGCATTGCTGTAACTGCAGAAAGCAGATCATTCTAAGAACGACAGCAGTCGTCACCAATCTTGTAAGCATGTGACATGTCTACTTGCAGGGCTTCAGGACAACCCCTGGGTGTGTGACTGCCGGCTGTATGACCTGGTCCGATTCCTGGATGCGTGGGCCCCACACCTGGCATTTATTGAGGTCAGGCTGTGGTGTGCCAGCCCACGAAGCCTGGCTGGGGTGGCCTTCCATCAGTTGGAACTGAGGAGGTGCCAGAGCCCCGAGGTCCACCCGAGTGTGGCCAGCCTCCAGTCCCCTGTGGGCAGCACAGCACTACTACGTTGTGGAGCCACTGGGGTCCCTGGGCCTGAGATGAGTTGGCGGAGAGCCAATGGGCACCCGCTCAATGGCACAGGTATGTGAATATAGAGACTGAGCAGCAATGATCTCAAACTAGAGGGTCCCCAGACTGGGAAGGGACAGGGACAGCGAGGAGGTCTAAGCAAGCTGACACCCATCTCTCTGAGGGGAGTTGGGCAGACGACCCGGGGATAGAGCACGAGCAGTGGGTTGAAGGTTAACAATGGTTTACATCCCAACTTTTCTATAGATCTCACTATTATAAACATCAAGAAAGGATCAGTAAGAGTCTCTGGGTGGTGCCAAAAGTTACCTGATCTGGCTGTTAACCCAAAGGTTGGAAGTTTGAATCCAGTCAGTGAGTGGTGTCTTGGAAGAAAAGGTCTGCTGATGTACCTCCCCAAAATCAGTTACTGAAACCCTACGGAACAGAGTTTTGTTCAGACACACACAGAGTTACCGTGAGTTGGGGTTGACTGACAGCAACTGGTGATCATGAGGAATCATTAACCATATGAGTTAGCATCTACCGAATTCTAGCACTGTGCTAAGTACATTATGAGTATAGGGACTTTAAACTCGAGCAAGTTTGATCTTTTCTACTTTGCACATGAATAAACAGAAGCTTTGAGATGTGTCATGCATGGTCCACATCCTATAACTCACAGATGGAGAAGTTGGGTTCCTACCAAGACCTGGTCCACTCCACAATCGAATGACTTTTTAGCACTAGACCCAGAATACCTCAAGTCCCTCCCAGCTTGCTTCTCTGTCTCCTGAAACTAGGTTGGAAACCACGGCTCTAAGATCAGGCACCCAGTCCCCCCGCCCCCCAAACCATTGCCATTGAGTGGATTCTAACTCATAGCGACCCTCCATAGGATTTCTGAGACTGGACATCTTTACAGGTGCAGACAGTTAATGTTTCTCCTGCAGAGCAGCTGGTGGGTTTGAACCACCAGTTTTGAGGTTAGCCATCCAAGGAGTATCCCACAATGCCACCATGGCTTCTTTTGCTCTAGGAATGTGGGATTGAAATGAATTTACAAACAAAATTGCAAAGCTGCTTCTTGTAAAACAGAGCAAGTTGGAGATGCTATGAATGAAGGGCAGGGGTGGGGAGGCGAGGGAAGCAGAGTACTTTGCCCTGGACCCCTTCCACATTGCATCCTGCTGACCTTTGATCCCCAACACGCCTGCCCCCTGCTCCAAGGAGTCACTGTGGTGGCAGCCCGGTCCTCTGTCGAACAGTTTGAACCTCCCACACCTTGACAGTTAACCATTCTTAGGCTCTGCTCCCACCTGGCACTTTAGAGACCTCCCACATTTGTAATCCTGGTTCCCTTAACTCCTCTCAGATAGACGTGTGGAGGGATTGCCAGTGTTTCTATGAGTACCAGACCTCTCAGTGGGGTCTGTGGGCTTGCTTTGGAAGGGAACTTGAGGCGGTGCCCTCCCTTGACCCACGAAACCTCTTTCTCTCCACAGTGCACCAGGAAGTCTCCCGGGATGGCACGAGCTGGGCTCTGCTGGGCCTGCCGGCAGTGTCCTACCAAGATTCTGGAGACTACATCTGCCAGGCCAAGAACTTCCTGGGTGCCTCTGAGATGCACATGTCCTTGACTGTTACCGCGGCGCAGGCGTTCACCAAGCAGAGTGGAGGTCCCGAGGTCCCGCGGGCCAGGGTAGAGGAGGGGGCAGAAGCGGTGGCGTACAACAAGCAGCTGGCGGCCAGGCATGCCCTCCATGCTCCCAAGTCTGCTGCCCTGGCTCCCTGGACCTTTGCACCCAACGACGAGGAGGAGCAAGCCCTTCGGCGCTTGCCAATGGGTGGCCCTGGGGAGCACTCTGGCAGCGGGTCAGCAGGGCGCCAGGAAGAGCGGATGGTTCGGTCCCTCAAGGTCATAGGGGACACGTACCACAGCGTGTCCTTGGTGTGGAAGACCCCCGAGCTGGGGCGCACCACGACCTTCAGTGTTCTGTACGCGGTCTTCGGGCAGCGCGACATGCTGCGGATGGCCGTGCAGCCGGGCGAGACCCGCGTCACCCTCGATGGGCTGGCGCCCCAGACCAAGTACGTGGCGTGCGTGTGCGCGCGGGGCCTGGCGCCGCGCAAGGAGCACTGCGTCATCTTCAGCACCGACGAGGTGGCGGACACTGAGAGCACGCAGCGGCTCATCAACGTGGTGGTGGGCAGTGTGGCCGCTGTCATCGCGCTGCCGCTCACGCTGCTAGTCTGCGGCAGAGCCCTGCGCAGGCGCTGCCGCAGAGGGGGCTCCCCGCGTCCCGGGGTGCCTGCGGTCGCCTACGGCATCCTCGGCAGGCCCGGTTGCAGCGAGGATGGCTCCGAGCACCGGTCTCGGCACAGCCTGGGCGAGGCCGAACGGCTCCTCTCGTCCACGTCCAGCCTGGACTCTCAGGCCTTGGGGAGCAGGCGTATCCATGAGTACTATTGCTGAGGACGCTGCCTCCCCTCTCCTACACGATGAAGACGTCTGTCCACTTTCCCTTTTCCACGGCCACCCTGACCCAGGCCATCCGGTTCGTGCGGCCTCCTGCGCTCACCCACAGTAATAGTAGCAACGCCAGCAGCTAACCCTTAGCATGGTCTATTAGCCAAAAGATTGAGGGCTCACGTTGAGAAGTCTCAGAAGAAAGGCCTGGCACCCTACTTCTAAGAAAGGTGGTTGTGCTTCATGAGTTGCATTGGTCCCAGGCTGGAAGGTCAGCCTTCCCGGAAAAAGTTCATCTCATAGGAGAATGGAATGAGCAAAGACATGTGATGCCCCTTAAGCTCTTGACTTCGATTAGCACGTGGTCATTTCTGCCCATAGCCTATCTGCCAAAGCAAGTCATGCAGCCAAATCCACCCCTACCAGGGCAAGGAGGGGCAGGTTTTCGCTGGAGGTGATGGTGGGGCAGCAAGTCTTTCTAGGACCTGATGTTGCCGTCACATCTGCCCAGGATGACACAGCCAGCGAAGGGTACCTGTGAAAGGTGAGGCAGGCAGTTGGGTGGGCTCCGTAGTCAACAGTCCTTACCATTCTCCTGCCCTGTACCTTGATTGCACATGCAGTAGCTCTGCACGTACCCGCAGCCTTTCTATGTATTAACCACACTTGTACATGCACTCATCACCCCACGTTCACACACACATTGAAAGCCGGATCATCCTTTCAGTTTTTCATGCACACTCAGCACACTTGTGGGTTCCAGTGAACGGGCTGCAGCTAACCAAAAGATAGGAGATTCAAGTCTTGGCAGAAACACCTGGCTATCCACATCTTAAACATCAGCCGTTGAAACTTCCATGGAACACAGCCCTTCTCTGGCACACAGCGGGTCTCCATAAATTGAAATGGACTCCATGACAACTGGTCCATCAGACTTGACTGCAGTCACACACTCACCCACGCTGTACCCTTGCCTCCAATACACTCCCTGAGTCCAACACTAATTGCCCCAAGTGCCATTCCCCTTAGATATGATGATCTGATCTTCAACAAATTCTAGAGGTTTGGTTGATGCCAAGATACCACTGATCACTTACTCTTAGACTATTAGGCTGGGGGGATTCTTCCACTGCAGGTGGCACTGTGGTGCCTAACTCAGCCAGGCACACATGTCACCTCTGCCCCAGGTAACAACACTTGTTATTCTTACTGAAACATACCTGTGTTCCTGAGAGTGTCCCAGAGCCTTCCTCGTCACTCAGCAAGATGCTTCAAAGAAGAATGACTGGCTGGTTTTGCGTCCAGCTGGGAAATCATGGAGATGTTGACTCTGTGCACAGAGAGGATGGACATTCCCTGCCGAAGGCCTGATGATAGGTCTTTTCCACAGAGCTGATCTCTTGTGAG